CAGGGAGGTGGTGGAGTCACCATCCCTGGAGGTGTTCAAAAAACATTTAGATGTGGCACTTCAAGACATGGTTTAGTGGGTTTAGCGGGCATGGTGGCATCGGGTGTACAGTTGGACTTGATGATCTTTGAGGTCTCTTCCAACCATAATGATTCTATGATTCCTCTCACACTTCCCTCTTGCTCCATTTCCCCTCCTTACCTGCTGCGTAAGCCGAGAGGAGGGGATGAGCTGCAGGTTCTCCAGGTGGGAGTGGAAGAGCGCATTGGGCACCAGCTGCCCACCGACTTTGCACTCAATGATGTAACCCACGGTGCAGTCGTCCGGCAGACGGATGAGCTCTGAAGTGGTCAGGAAGTTCCTGCCACTGGAAGAGAGTAGGGGTGCGTGGGTCAGGAAAAGGGTAGAGGGGGATTTAGGCATCAACTTGAATGGGAGATAAGTGGAGGACTTAACTGAAAACCAGAGTAAATCTTGGAACTAGGCAATAAATCCCTGAGTTCTACCCTCAAAGATTTGGGAATGTGTTTGCCCTTTGAGCACTCCCAGCCAAGCTGTCCCACCAGTTGTCGGGTGCTGTCCCTGACACATATCCAGCCCCTCGGTGAGCTGATGCAGAGAGCTGGTGGACTTTGCCGAGTTACTTTTTCACCTGTTTGGTGATCTGCACCGAGTCCCTGAGGGGTCAGACAAGCCAGCACAAGAGAAACAGTGGGACCACATGGCCAGGACTAGGAGAAAGAAGAAACAGGACAGTCTCATGCAGCTTGAATAAGCCATCCATGGCTCTACTGTAGTGTAACAGACTTGGCCATCCTTTGATGACAGGTTAAACCAAATTTTAAGGCTCCTGTAACTGGAAATAGCCACACAGCCAGAAGGACTGTCTACTGTAACAGCCCTCAGCTACTTCAAATGTGATTTAAGCATTTTAACACAGTACGGGCAGACTTTATGCCAGGTTAGGCGTTATCTATCCATGCCGTTTTCATTTTACCCTAGATCACAGGTCATCCTCCTGTCTGGGTCTACCATAAAATACCTATCATGGGCTTCAGCTAAACCAGCCACCTGGTGTGGATTGGATCTGTCTTTCGGCATAGATTTGGTTAAGGCAGGCACAGGCACTGTCTATCAGTGTATGTGCATATAGCCTGTGATATAATCTAGGGCATCATGGAAAATATCATTTTCTTGTAGGCTGGGCTAACACAAGACCCCGGGAGCTACCTCTGTTCTCCATGCACCAAGCTGAGGAAATGACAGCGGCCACTGTAAGAAGCTGAAGAGGGTTTGGGGTTAGAAAATGGGAAATTAGCTCAGGAGGGAGGTACAGGAGGTTGGAAAGAGGCAGATAGGGAGATGAGATGATAGGCAGATAGGAAAAGAGCCAGAGAAAGTTGAAAGGGATGGGAAGGAGTGTGGAGAAATAACCAAGAGCTGAAAAGAGTTGGGGAGAGGGTAGTGTGTCATCCGATGATCATGTTTGCTGAAGTGCCTGCTCTTGCTTCTTTTTAATCAGGTGACAGACCCATCTACTACATCCTTTCTCCAGTCCCACATGCTTGCAGATGTGTAGCATGTGGCACTCTGCACCCTCGCCAAAACATCCTTGCAAACACCACATAACACAAATCCAGATCTGACACTGCCAGAAATTCATGTGCGGCCGTGTTCCTCGTCCCCGAAGGCTCCCACACTCACCAGCTGCACAGCTTACCTGGCCCACGGCACCATCTTGCATGCCAGCTTGCGGCTGATGCAGAACCCAGCCCCTCCTGTGGCAAACCAGAAGCGTACAGATTTCTGGAGAGAAACAGCAGAGAAAATCAATGGCACAGGCTCAGACAATATCATACTCACTGAGATGGGAATGCTGGAAACCCAACTTTGATGCCAGGATAAACACAGCCCCATTGTCACCCCAGACCCCTGACTGCTGCCCAGAAGGGCTTGCCAGCAGTACAGCGTGGATTTTGACCTCCTCATATTTGGAGGGGCCAAGTTCCTGCTGGCAGCAGCAGGTGGGCTGCCCAAGGCAGGCTTATCTCCTGGCAGACAGGTACCCAAAGGCGCAGCAGCAACGTGGGACTCTTCCCCTAAGTAGATCAGATTGAGTCAACACCTACAACCATGTTCAGACAAGACCGGTGAGCTCTTAGCTGTTGCTTTTGGGACCTGTCTCTCCTTGGGGTACATCTACAGCCAATGAGCAAGAGCACTAAAAACAACCCATTGGCCCCCACACCACCACCACAAGCTGTACCGTCTGGTTGTTTGGCAGAGTTTCGGAGGCCCGGATGGGTCGGTTCAGGCTGGGTTTCCCCAGGTAAACATCCCAGGTCACAGAGTAGGAGGACAAGAGCTTCAGGAGGGCCCGAGGGTTCAGGTAGTTGTCATCATCCAAATGGCAAAACCAGCTGGGGGGAGACAGGAACGAAGACAAAAGAGGTTTGAGGTAAGGAGGATGTCTCTTGCTCTCAGGGGTTCCCCCGCGGCAGCTCTGCCTCACCTCCGGTCGCTGGCCAGGAAGGCATCGAACTCGGCAGCCATCTTGCAGGAGAGGGCCAGGTGGCTGTGCTCGGCAGAGCAGTTGGTGAAGATGGCATGGTCACCTGCCGGGAGAGAGAAAGCAGTGGCTCAGGGCCAGCCCACTTCACATGGTCACAAGGAGGACCTCTGGGCAAGAGGGAAGGGGGTTTGTTCACAGCCAACCTCGTCACAACGCCCCGAACAGGCATCTGAGCCCGTGGTGACGTGGACTTCATCCTTCTCCCTACCAGGAGATGAAACCTGGAGAAAGCCAAGTCTTGGCATCTTGGCCAAGACTAGGATACCTGCCAACTGCACTTGCACCCTGCCCACTGCCAGCCAAGGTGTGGGGGCTGAAGGGCTCTCTCATGGGCTGCTTCCACCCATGGATGCTCTAAGGCAGACAGCACCCTGCCTCCAGTTGGCTGCATGCCCTGGGGTAAGCCAGCTAAACCGAATCGTCACCGCTGCAGCTTGGGGTCCTCCCACGGGACATGGCGAGCGGTGTGCTTCAAGAGGCAGCGCTGGCCTAGGAAACCCAGCACCAGCCTTCGTGCCAAACCCCTTCCCAAGGCTGTGGCAGTTCAGAGGCTGAAGGCCAGGGCGAGGTGGTGTTATAGGACAGGTCGTTACCCATTCTCCTTTTCAGGGCACCGTCTTCTTCATCGGTGAAGACATAGGTCTGGGGAAATGAGGAAAGGAGGTTACTCTCAGGGCTGGAGCTGGTGCTGCTTCTGGCTGCCCACCCCTTTCTCCCCGCAGCTGGACACACTCACCATGGTCACCCCACTCCATCCTCTGCGGCCGTGCCCCCCTCCCAGGCAGCAGTTGAGCAGAGGAATGGCCGCGCTTCCCTTTCCCACATGGCACAATCATTTAGTGCTCGTCTGGCTTCATTTCCACACACCCCACCCACCACCTCGGGAACAGGGAGAAGGGGACCGGTGACACCAAGTGAAGCAGTGAGGGAGCCTTGGCTTAGGTGTCAGTGGTAGAAAAATGAAAGCACCGCGGTCGAATGATGCCCAGGTTGAAAGGAGAACATCTATTTGTGTTAAGTGTGCACAGCCCCTTGCCACTTCCCTCCTCCTCCTCCACCCCCAGGCTTCTCTAATCCCCCTCGCTGCCATTATGTGGCACATCTCCCCCTCTTTGGGGCCAGGCGGGGATCAGGGCTGGTGGAGAAAAGCTTTCCTCAGGCAGAAAATGAGCTTTCATGAAATCAAAAAGGAGTCGCGAGCTGTAAACAGTCTCTCCACCAGCTGCCCACAGGCTGGTTAAGCGCAGCACCTGGGCAGGGACAAAGGAGACGAGGCAGATAGACAACAGCTCCAGGAGCCGGCATTACGCCCAAAGGCTCTGACGAGGAGGAGAGAGTCTCTACATCTCCCCACACCCACCCAGCATTTGGGAGATTTGCTCCCATCAGGAGGATGCGGCAAGAGAAATGTTCTGCACATGAAAAGAAGGCAATGAAGGACCCTCAGAGACCACCTGGCTCGAGCAGAGATGGCAGGATGGTTTCATGATCTCAAACGTATGTGCTACACCAACTTGGCAAATTACCCTTCAAACAGCTGAGCTGCAGCCGTGGGTCACACACAGACTCCTACCCCACCTCGCTGGTAAAGTCTGTTAGTTAAAACCACTTTCAAGGTGATCACGGGACAAGAAGCAATTAGCTAAGTCTTAGGTAAAGGAGTTGCTCTGGGTCAGGGGACCTTATCACAACCTTCAGGCAAGGCAGGAATTGTGAGTGGCATGGGATTTCCCTCGCTAGCGTGTCAGAGCCAGAAATTTCCACTATGACAAATATTTTGTCTTAAGAAAAAAAATTCTGAAACCATTGAAACTTTCTGACATTTTCAAAAAAAAACCAGAAACCTTGTTGCTGGAAATGACTTGCTTACAGATATAAAACTGGCTAGAAATCATATGTCTAATAAACATCATATCTGATTGACTTAAAATAGGAGTCTGCATCTTTTCCCAGATTTTCTACTTGTGAAAATATTCCAAGGTTCCCCCTTTCCTCTTGATGCAAGGTGGGAAATGTTTTTTTGTAGACAGCATGTTTCTGTGGGAACCCAAGGACAAAGGAACATTGTCACCACGGGGAACACCAGACTCTCCAAAATAACTGGAAAAAGGGGGCTATGAGTGTGGGGTCTAGGCAAAACTGATTTCTCTGGCTCTCCCAAACTGATCTCCAGGCATACCTGGCTACAGTACTCCAGAAATGCTGGAGTATGTGCCCTGGCTCTGTCCTGAAGGAGATCACAACAGCACAGGCAGCTGTCTGCATCCTCGTCTCTCCATCCCTCACGTCCCTGAGAGTGGAAAACCTGGAACAGCAGCTGTTGCTGGCATCCAAGTGACCAGTGCCATGTGTCCCTCAGCAAAGCCACACATGATGGCTGGGATGGGAGAGAGAGAGAAGGACCCCAGCTAAAAACCTGCCTGGAGACCATTTGCCCCAGTTACATAGTTCTTTCTCAAAGAGACACCAACCGCTGTTGTCCATACTAATGGAGTCTGGAAGAGATTCAGAAGGTCTCTCTGGCTACACCAGACCTACTCCCCTTGCTAAGGATACGCGAGCAGAAGAACACCCGGTGTCATTTGTATCCCTGCAGGCAAATGGGGTAGACAGAAGCAGCCTTCCCATCATATCCACCCTCCTGTTCTCCACCATACTGGCCCAGGATGGCTGTCAATGCTACTAGAGGGCAGTCGATCTGGGCCTCAAGAGAGATGCAGCATGGAAAGCATCCCTCCGTTCTGGAGTGGAGAAGATGGCTGGGTGGGAAAGGATGTCGGCAGGACAGCAGTGCAAGCAGTGATATGGAGCCACTGGTGTCAAATGGCTTTGCCTGGTGGCTTTCCATGAACATAAGTGCCCACGCAATGGATAAACACTAGAATTTGAGACCCCCTCACCCCAAATCAGGAAAGTAGCCTAGCAAGGAAAAACTAGGAAAAGGGAATAAAAATCTGGAATCTGACAACCCAGGGCCACGTCCATCTCCCAGGCTCCCAGGGTATCCCTTCTTCAGGAAGAAACCCCCTCCAAAATGCAAACATCTCAGCAGGGTTATTGTTGTGTCCTGCCTGGAGAACAGATTCCAAATCTACAGTGTGTTCACAGCACTGAAAATGTAAAAGCTAGTTCAGGATGGGTCATTCAAAGGTTTCATTTCATTCGGTTGGATGTCTGGGTGCCTGGAAGGAGGGGAGGTGCTAAAATTTGTTTACATTACCAAACAAAATGCCATTTCAGACCAGAAACCTAGACTTATCTCCATCAAAACTACCAGGGCCAAGAATGTAAGCCACTCCAAGATGCTGTCCAGGCTAAACAACCATCAAAACCGACACTTCTGTTGAGACGAAATTTTTCTGAGGAAATGGCCTCTTGCTGAAATGAATTCCACATCAAGCTCCGGTGGAAAGTTTTGTCATGGAACAGTTCTCAAGGGGCAGAGCATAGTCCAGAGAAGAGTGCCCACTTCGCACTTCCCCTTCCCCATCTCCCACCAGCTGCAGATCTTCTCTTCTGTTTAAACAGTGCAGTTTCAGGGAAAATATCCCTCTCTCTTATTGTCTACCCTGACAGAGTCCAACACAGAGGACTTTTAATTTGGCTCCTGTACAGTCTGTCCTAGCCATAAAACCCACAGATGTTCCTGCCTCCTGTTACAGTCACCTAAGCCTGACCTGTGAGGTCTGGGTTGGTTCCTCTGGGAAGACCCCATGCAGGTAATCAGCTCTGAAACCAGGTTTGGCATCAGCAGCACAGCCAGCTGCTCAAATTTCCCCGCTGGCCACCTACAGAGAAGGACCAGCTGAATCCATCTCCAGCCATGAGTAAGGGTGAGTGAGACAGCAAGATGGTGGGTCAGCCCTAGGAGGAGGCAGTCCCTGCACATCACAGCTTCTGAGACCTGGATCTCTCTGAGACTGGCTCTTAAAGACTATTCCTCTCCAAAAAGACTCAGTCATAGGAGGTCTGGTGCCCTGTCCCTGGCTCTACAACAGTTAAATGTCCTTTGCAAACTGAGGGCTCTCATTTTTACTAAGCGAGGTTTCTATATTGTCAATTTTTTTCAAAACTAACCCTTTCCTCCACCTCCAAAAAAACCCTCCAGCAGCAGTATATTTAAAAAAAAAAGAGAGGCTTTGACTTTCATGTACTTCTCTTTACCTCCCTCCCCGCCTCCACTCCCCTGCCCTCAAAGCCATTTAGTTAAAAAAAAAGCAGAAGAAAAACATGGAAAAATGAGGAGGGGGAGGAAAACACTGAGCTTGCAACAAAAATTGATAACAATGAAAAAACACTGTTTAAAAATTACTGACACTTGCTCTCTACCCTTCCTTCCTATTCTGCTGCTCAGTCTGTGAAGCTCTCCTATGGGCTGGCAGCAGGATGGAAAATTCAACACCTCTTCCCAGGTTTGGACATCATTTGCCTGCCAACCAGAGAGGGTCAGATGAATCTGGGGAGCTAGCATCTAATTCCTGTCATCAGTGGAATGGCCAGGAGCCTGTTTGTCAACTGCACGAGGAGGGAAAGGTGAACTACTCCTTAAAAACCCACTCCAAAAGCCCCAGTTACAGTATCTTGATGTCAGTGCAGCCATGCAGTTGGGTTTGGTTTCTCCAAAGAGCTGCTGGGCTGAGGTCAGAAGAAGAGGAGAAGTAGGTCTGGAGGAGGAAGCAAGGCATCTCAGATGCTGAGAGGGACACGCAGACAGGAGAGGAAGCATGCTCAAAATAGGACACAGCTTCCTGTGACGACCGCAGCAGACCAGACAGTTGCAGCACCATGAAGTGGAAAACCACCCTTACCCAGAAAACCCTGCATTGCTTCGAGCGCTCTCCTACCCAATACCTCCGCCCCCCGTCCCCCTTCCTCGCTGAGGCCTGAATTTGTCTTCTAGGCACCCGTCACACACAGGCACGAGGCAAAAAAAGCACCCTTTGGGGACAGCCATAGGTTTTCTTCTTTCTTGAGGAGATGCTTTGTGAGGGAGGGAGAGAAATACCCAGGCTCTGGGGAGCACTTCTGCCCACCAGTAAGCCAGCCTGCACAGCACCAGCAACGTGGTGCCCCACATCAGTTCCTCTAACAGGAAGGAAACTCTCCAAATTCTGCTTTTAGCAAAGAGTGGAAACATCAGACCCTCAGTTAAAAATAATATTTTTTTAAAAAATATTACATGCACCCACATCACTTCAAAATCATGCACATGAGAGGATCTGCCCAAGAAATCAAGGCATGGACTGTGCTAATGTGCTGGAGAGTGAACAGGGCTGCAAAGACCCATCCTGCGCTCCAGGAGGTCTTCCAGGTCCTCCTGCCTCACTCTCCTGCCTGCTCCACCACACCGTTCCGGGGCGAAGGATGGATGCCCAGGCACAATGCGGGCATCCTGATGGAGGGCCAAGGGGGACCACTCAGCTTGAAATCGAGCAAACTGATGGCACGAGGAGGTAGAAAACAACCATTTCATATAGAGCCAGGACAGTCTGTGCTCTCAGCCTGGTGTGGTCCAGGCAGTCTGCGGACCCCAGTGCTACTGGTTAAAAAAAGGAAATTAAATCCCTTCCACCCCAACCTGAAAGAGTCGGGCTTAGGTTAGGGGCAGGTGTTGCCTACTAGGAGCACTCATCCTCCCAGCCTTCATGGGAAGATCCCACACAAACTTTTCATCCTCTCTACCAGCCTTTCCCATGAAGCAGCTACCGGTGAAACATTCTGCTGGGTAGCATCCCCATTTCAACGTGAACAGAAGTGAGAATTAGGGAAAACAAGGCACAGTACTGGGTGGGCCTGCAGTGCCCAGCCTTTCCTTCCTTTGGCTTTTATCCCCTACCCCAGGACACCGCATCCCTGCCCCATTACCAAACACTCCCTCTCTAGCCCAAATCCACACGCTCACCTGCTCTCTGGCCCGGGATATCCACGTGTCCAGGAGCAGCTCCATCCTGCTCTGGTGAAATCTTTTGGTTGTCTTCACAGCTATGAAAATGTCCCCAAGCGTCAGGCTTCTCTCAGCCCTGTATCCCTGGGGAGAATGGACTTGCAGGTCTTTCTGCCCACTGCCGCTGCCTCCCTCTGGGCTCACCTTGCTCCGTTGCTCTGGCTTCTCCAACATCCCCTCCCTGAGCCCTGGGTATCGAGCTGTTTCCCGAGCCCCACGGTGCCTCACGGAGAGAAGAGCCATGCTGACAAGAAAGACTGCGGCTCCAGAAAGACCACGGATGAGCCGACGGCCCATGGCTCCCAAATTGTTCCCGCCGCGGCCAGTATCCTACTGAAGATGGACAACCTCTGCCTGTACCTCCAGGTGAAACGGTTCACTCTTCTCAAAGCCTCCGAAGGGGCAGGACCAGCTGAGAGCAAGGTCTGAATAGGATGTAGCCAAGGAATAGGGTGAGAGAAGACCAGAAAGCCAAAGAAACAGCAGCCCTGGAGGATACCAGTGAAGCAGGGGGAATTTTCACAGACTAAGAGGGCTCGATGACCCAGCAAGGCAGGGACACATGATGGGAAAATACTCCGAGGTGCCTTGCAGGTGCCTGGCACAGCCTGCCAGCAGGAAAGCGAGCATCCCCACTCCCGGCAGAGAGGCCGAGGGTCCCAGGCTGGGGGTCAAGGAGGTGGCAAAGGAGATCAGAGCCATCGGCGGGGAATCTGGACCGAAGGCATCCGTTCCCCAGAAGACACCAGACCATCCATCCAAGCCAAGGGCTGCGGGGCGGAGGCGAGCGGGGGGCAAAGGGCTG